GTGTAAATTAGAAACAAATTTACTGATATTAATCACTCATCTTGTTAAATTACCGACCCAGATCAGAAATCTCAACACCCCACTAAAGTGCAAGTCTCAGGTTCATTCATTCATTCATTGATTCGTGTATAGGTACATGTGACCACCTTGACTGACACATCCATGATGAGCGCTGAGGAAGACTCGACCTCCTCGCCAGATGACGATCCATATGATGACACAGACATCCTCAACTCGGCTGGCACTGATGAGGTCACAGCTCACCTGGCTGCTGCAGGTGAGTCTAAACTCTGTGCTGTTTCCAGAGTGGTCAGAGTGTGTTCGTTGGGTCTGATCAAAGTTACAAGCAGAAGTGCTTCACGACCTGTAGACTTATGTTGATAATTGTTATTAAGGTTGTAAAGTTTGTGGCAAATTAGACGGTCAACTCCTTACAACAGACCATTTTTTGTTTATTTTTTTATTCTTCTTAGCAGCTATGATTAATTATACAAGCCTGGTAAATCCCATAACGCCATAATTTAAGCAAAATGCTTTCAATTGAGCAACAGGTGGCGCCAGTGGATTAGTTGTGTAGGCAGTGTTGCCTTTGTCAAGCCTCTGCCATGTTTTTTTTTTCCATCTTTATCCCTTAAAGTTGACATGATTTGAAATTAAATCGGTGAAATGCTATTTCATGTCTTTTTAAAAACATATTTTATATTTAAAAAAAGAGAACAATAAACAGTAACAACCACATGGGCTTTAAAAGCTCAAATCAGAGAAGGAAAATACTTTGTCTCTTTTTACCTTTGGTAAAATCTCTCCTCCTCCTCTTTCTTTCAGGGCCAGTGGGTATGGCAGCTGCTGCTGCTGTAGCAACTGGGAAGAAAAGAAAAAGGCCTCATATCTTTGAATCCAACCCTTCCATCCGTAAGAGACAGCAGACTCGTCTGCTCAGGTGGATCTAATAGCTTTTCTGACAGCAGCTACGGTGACCAAAATATCCCTCGCTCAGCTCCTAGGGTAGAATTGTTGTTGTGCTTTGTAGCTTTTAATCTGAACACAGAAGTAAAGGATGGTGTTTGTTAACAGGAAACTGCGAGCCACGTTGGATGAGTACACCACTAGAGTGGGCCAACAAGCCATAGTGTTGTGCATCTCCCCCTCCAAACCCAACCCTGTGTTCAAGGTGTTTGGTGCTGCTCCTCTGGAGAATGTGGTAAGTCTTATAAATAGAGCAGGTAGAAAGGATTAGATTGTAACACAGTGAAACTTACCATCACACCAAACCTCAGTGTTCTCCTTCATTTATTTCAGTGAAGCCCTCTCAGTCATTCACGTGTATGCAGTGTTTCCCTTGTCATAAGTATACACTGCATGTTAGATAAACTGAATCTGCTTTACATCTTTCTTCCTAAAAACTATTTGTGTATTAAAAATACTCATAATTTTATAGCTAATAATAATTTATTAAAGGCCATATTGATTTTGTCTTAATAACATAACCAAAAAAAAGGCATGTAGTTACTTATCTTTGACCAGGTATCTACTAGCAAATGTTTTCTTCAGTGATTTATTTAAACCTGCTATCACTCTTAAAAGCTCAGGCTGACACACTGTGATGTATCTTTCATGGATACTAGGTAAGAAAGTATAAGAGCATGTTGTTGGAGGACCTGGAGAACGCCCTGGCTGAACATGCCCCTGCAGGTGGAGAACTCGCCTCAGAGCTGCCCCCGCTCACAATTGATGGCATCCCCGTCTCTGTGGATAAGATGACCCAGGTAAGGCTTACTGCGGATTTATTCTTTAGTGGGGAATCTACGCCGTAGCTACGTCTTAACTGCAAACTTGAATTTATCAGTGAGAGAATAACAATCATCATGTCAATTTAAAGGACAATAAAATCAATATAGGAATTGCCAGCAACAACCTCAGCCACTTACATGTATGCTGTAGGCTCTACAAAGTTTCCGTGCAGAAATCTAAATAAGGCCTTCTCTCTATTCTCTAGAAGTGCTAAAGTTTACTCGCTTTTTCCTTTGTACAAATTCACTAATACACACACACACTACTCCCAGCAGAGGGCACCAGCCGCTAACAAACCAGGAAGTTTAAACTATGTCTTCTAACTAGTGAGAGGAAGATCTTAGCTAACTACATGTAGCAAGGTCAAATTCTTATTTGTAGGTGTGTTGTCCACTAGCTCATTTTTGATGTTTTTGATTAATCTATTCAGCAGTCATGCATTTATTCTCATCCTGAAGAGCAGCATCACCATTAAAATAAACTCTAATCTGAGAAAAAGCTAATCCTTCTCTTTGATAAGCAGAGCAGCCATTGTAGGCCGTTCATCGTAGCGTTAGTACCACTCGCAGGCCTGAATTTTCTTTTCAGCCCAGGGGAGCATGGCTTGTTTACTCTGCCGTCCCAGTGCTGCTGACGCATTCTCTAGATCATCGTCACAGTAGGCAGCATGACAGTGGCCCTCAGAGACGATCCACAACCCTCGGCGCGCGTTAGCCAATCGCAGTGCCGGATGAATCCTTGGAGGCCAGGTGTTAGTTGGAGCTTGTTTTTCTGGAAGTAGTAGGATGAGATTATCGCGAGTAACCTGTTGCCTCACTCAATTTCGACAAGCCGGGTGGAAAGGTGTGGGGGTGGGTGTTTTTACAGATATGTGTGTGCTGCGCGTTGGAAACAGGAAGTTGTTTAGTCCTTCTGGGAAAAGCTAGTAAACCTTGGCCAAGGAATGAGATGAGAGGAAGCTAATTTAGTAGAGACACCCAGTTCGTATCAGAAACATGTCTTCTAAAAGGATATCTGCAGTAGAATTTTATACAGCTGAAGAAATCCCAAATGAGGTTAAGCAGAGGCCCTAGTCTGTCAGATATATGGAGCATCTGTAGCAGGTGATCCCACGACTAGCTTGAGCTCATAATTACCCCCTTGCCTTGTTAGGTTCAGGAACCCAGCAACATAACAGCCTTCCTGAAGTCTGATTGGACCACTGCTTGGAAGATTAGGATTGGGGTGGGGTGGTGGGTGCGAGGGCAACATGCCACTTAACTCGCTAGCCACTGTAATTTGGCCATCTGGCCTTGCACAGATACATCCACATACGTCGCCATCATCGCAGGTGTAAATGGGAGAATAATTTTCCTACAAGGCTTTTTCGCAGGTTAATGCAGGTTGCTGAGCTAGTGTTGGCTCTGGTGGAGCTCCATTACGTGGAGGGTTTGTTGTTCGAAAGCTGGCGCGAAGCACCGACACTCCATTTTCTATCAAGATCCATTTTCTCACATCTGTTTGCGTGATGCACTGAGGAGCTGTGTGACTGAGTTAGAAAAGGGGGGCCTAACGGGGAGGAGGGAGGGATTTATTTCTCCCGGAACCAAATTTAGCTTGTGATGTCAAGGCAGGCGGACGCTGCAGTGCCTCATTGTGCAATATAATCCCCCGGTGATGCTTGCATATTACCGGGACGCCGAGGACACTGGCACTAAACCCCCACTCGGCATGTCAGTGAGTGTAAGCGCGCGCCTGCTCGGGCTCTGTCGACATGATGGGCAGTGCGTATGCGTGCCACTCACTACTGCACATGAAGTATGCATACAGACGATCGATAACAAGCAAATCAGATGAGATTAAGAACGTCATCCGCTCGCTTTTTCACCTTGTCAGGCAGCTGTTATTCAAGTTTAGAAACTAGATGCACCATAAAGCTCGGATTTTTAGCTTTTAGCGCAACAACATTTTCACCAGCTGGTCACCTGCAAAATCAGCACTTTTTACTTCATTGTTAGATATTCCAAAACGGTGGACAAGCACTTGATAAATGGACTGATTCTTACATCTATACAACATGCCACATTCACGTTTCTTCTAAGCTTTTAGTGCTTCCTAACAAACATTCACACTCTGATGGATGCATCGGAGAGCAACTTGGGGTTAGTATCTTGCCCAAGGATCCTTGGCATACAAACTGGAGGAGCCAGGGATTGAACCACTAACCTTCCGATCAGTAGGTGACCTGCTCTACCTCCTGAGCTACAGCCACCCCATCTTGATACCGTCTTGATAGAGTCTGTTGACAATAAAGAAATAAGTCTGTACAGTGCACCTATTAGCACAGACTTAATGCAGTGCCCTTGTTTGACAGTCAATTTTAATTTTTAACAATACTGACTGTCTCGTCCTTGTTAATACCTCTGCTCAGTGTCCTGGAGCCTTTGTTGGAACAGGCTGTCTGTTGGATCACCTCTGATGTGCTCGCAGTGTCTGTCTGATACGTCAGGCTGGAGCCATAGCCATAGATTGGTCTGTTAGTAAACCTGACCCCATTGTTCTCCTTTTAGAAGGTCTGTTTCTATTTTCAGGCCTTGACCACCTCAGCACATGCTGCAGGTACCTAATGCACGCCTCTCGCAGTCTGCTCAAGGGCGTGTATGCCCTGCAGCTTTGCACATTATATTTCTGTCTATATAATCTGTTTTTTCCATGCATTTTTTTTCCTCTTTTATTTTCCTTTAGGCACAGCTGCGAGCATTTATCCCAGAGATGTTGAAGTACTCAACAGGCAGAGGGAAGCCTGGCTGGGGTAAAGAGAGCTGCAAGCCAGTGTGGTGGCCCGACGACATCCCCTGGGCCAACGTTCGCAGTGATGTGCGCACAGAGGAGCAGAAACAGAGAGTAAGACAAACACTAGTATAACGTGATATTTTGCTGGGAAAGAGTACAAGGTTGTAAGTGCACAAAATGAATGTAGCTTGTGAGTACAGATCACTCAACAACAAAAGATTTTTATAGATCCGAAAGTGACAACAAACTAAACAGATGTTGTATTGTCCACCCATGAGAAAGATTCTTTTTACACAGTGTTTTAATCCTGTTCTGTTACATTAGCTAGTTCTGTTTGGTGGTGTCTAAAGATCCAGAGCTCTTGCCTTTGCAAGAGTCACCTGCCACGTGTAATTCAGTGACAGTGATAACAGTCCTTAAAGACATAGTTGATGGCATCTTGGGAAATGCCCATATTTGGTTAACTTAGAACAGTAGTTCTAACTACTAAGCCATCCTAGACAACTTTAGGATTTGGATCATTGCTCCCTTAGTGACACAAGTCGCTTTAAGATAGATTGGTGTCATGTGATGTAACATACCAGAGAAAGACGCAAAGATACCATATGAAGGAGTAAAAGATACAGTAAGCTTGTTTTATTATTATACATACAGCAGAATATAGTAGTAAATTGTTTTGCAGACCTCAAGGAAAATTGCTACAACTCATGAATCAACACTTTAAATATGAAGCTACAGCTAATGCACACCTTTGAAGCTCATTATTTTTTCCTCTTAATATAGCATGAGAAGAACAGGCTTTAGAGGTGCTGGTAAGCCAAGTCTATGCACTTTTAGTAGAACCAGCACAGCTGTTAACACCTTTTCTGTCATTTATTTTGTGTTTTCTGTGTATCTTCTGAGATAGCTTTAGAGCAAAGGAAACAGGCGCATGTCTATTCATTATTACGGTTTAATTTAATCCCATTGTACATAATTCATATTTATCATCTGATTATATTAAGAGATGTACCATGCCTTAGAGTCATCAGTCTTAAGAATTTTTGCTGACATTAAATTGTGTCTGTACTTCCTCAGGTCTCTTGGACGCAGGCGTTGCGAACCATAGTGAAGAACTGCTATAAGCAGCATGGCCGTGAGGATCTATTATATGCTTTTGAAGACCAGCAGGTAACCACGGCAACCACCACCCAGCACCACCTGACCACTGCACAAAGTATCGCTCACCTTGTGCCCTCACAAACCGTGGTACAGACCATCAACAATCCAGATGGAACAGTCTCGCTTATCCAGGTGCGTTTTATTCACTGCATGGCTTTTATACTCCTGAGTGGGAGTTTCTGCCCCTCTTGTTGTTTTTTACAGAGCCTAATGCACTTGGTGGAAATGTATTGTTTTCAGGTCGGTACAGGACACACAGTTGCCACTCTTGCGGATGCGTCGGAGCTGCCTGGTGTGACAGTTGCACAAGTTAACTACTCAACGGTAACTGAGGGAGAGGTAACACCCACATGCGTTCAAACGTGCCTAGAAATCGTTCTTTTATCAAAAACCATACTGAAACACATTAAGTTATTTACTGCACACATAGCCTCTTAAAAATGCACTCTATTTAATACCACAAAATCAAAACTAAAGCCACAAGTCCATCAATCTAATACCGGCAATATTTGCTCAGTCTCATTACCTCGTTGCTAATGTTCATCTACACTTATGGTCAGAAGTGTAAATCCACACAGGGCCAAATGTATACATGCAGGCTCATATATATTACATATATCCAACTAATATTTGGTAGCTTAGCATATTGCACCTTGACCAGACCATTTTGCTTACCATTGCAAGCTTCTGGCATTAGACGTGGCTGGATATTTAACACTCTTCTTGTTCATTTAAATTGGTTAGTGGTCCAAAAGCTTTCAGTAGGGTTGAGGTTGGGCCATTACAAAAGCTTTATGTCGTCAGCCTGTTTTCTGCACTCTAAAATTAGTTTTGATATATCATTTCCCTGTTAGAAAACCTGTGTCGAAGTTTGAACTGTTCTGATTTAAAGAACTTGGAGGTAGTCTTATTTATTCGATCCACATTGTGTAATGTACAAGTACCACTGATTACCAAATAGCACTAGCGCATGATGCTACCACCATCATGCTTGACAGTGACGCTGGTGTTCCAGCAGTTTCCAGCTCATGGCAGGCTTGAGCGTTGGTGGTTCCTGGGTTCTTTCTGAATATCCCAAACAATTCCCTCTCATCAGGGGGGACAGTTTGGGTGTTCTTCCAAGTTGGCAAAGGGGTGAAAATCGGAAAAACTTGTTCTCGCATAAAACCATTTGAATTGATGAAATCTTTAGTTATTTAGAAATGGCTCCAAGAGATCTTCTCAATTTGTGGAAATCTACAATTTTCCTTTTTAAGATTTTCACTGACTTACTTGGACTTTCCCATTGTTCTGAGTATTGGTCATTTCTACCAGCTGTAGTTAAATAATGAACACTAGCAAGAATTAATTGGCCTCGTCAAGTTAAAACACATTGTTGAACCTTCAACAAATCCTGTTAGTGTGTTGTGAGCGTATGTTCATATTTTGGCCTGTGTGTATAATTTTGACCCTGTGTGGAACAGAGAAAATGTAAAATATGTTTGCTATATAATCGTTTAATCCTAGTAAAAGAACAGCTCGAAGAAGAAGCCTAAAATTACCATGACATTCATGCCCCTGATAAGTGTATGTAAACTTAAGTATATACTTTGTTTTTCCTCCAGGTGGAACCAAGCTGGGCCACCCTGCAGGGCGGGGAGATGACAATCCAAACGACTCAAGCTTCAGAGGCCACGCAGGCAGTGGCATCCCTAGCTGAAGCTGCTGTCGCTGCTAGCCAAGAGATGCAGCCCGGAGCCACTGTTACAATGGCACTGAACAGGTGATTCTGACAGAGCTGAATATTATGTTATGTGATTTCCTGAGACATTATAATAGGTCTCTAACCTATTATAAAGGGGTGCACGCAGTGTAAACGGTCCAGGTACAAGGACAGGACTAAAAAATGCAAACTTAGATCTGGAGAAACTTTGCTCAAGACAACTTTTAAAAAGGTTAAAAAAAAAATTACAAAATAGTCTGTTGTAATAGTAGCTAACATCCCTATGTTGTTAAGCCTAAGCCTACAAATGTGTTAACAGAGAAGAAAGTTTTGGTGCTGTCACCACAAAATACCACAACCTTTTAAACAAAAAAAATGTTATTATCATGTCAAGTTTTAATTTCACTGAGAGAAAAAAAAACACTGACAAGTATAAAAAATGTCATAAATGCACAGGCAGCTATAAGCAGCTGGATGAAAATGGGACAAATGTGTCAGAGCAGGTTACTGGATTCCCTGGAGATACTTTTTGTCCTGTTTCAGCATCTAAATAATTAGCTTGTACCCTTTTATACCAGCAGCATGCACGGTGTAGAACCATTAAACCAGTTGTTCTAACAGCTTTTACCTGCTGATATGCAGGTAAGAGCAGATTAAAATAGCTGCATTTGAGATGTTGTGAGTATAAATATACAGCATTACATCTCTACTTCATTTAGGCTGCTGTGTTAGAAAAAGAAAAAAATGTTTTCAGTCCTATTATAGTCACAAATTAAAGTTCCTGTAGGATAACAGGTTAATAGTTTGTTGTAGGCTTCGGTCGCAGTTAAAAGAAGCTAACCCTTGGCTACCCACTTCCTGAATTACATTTTTTTCAGCAGTTTGTTTCTGAAGTCAGTCACCTAGATACTGCCATGTTAGAATTTTTTTTCACTGCAGTCCTGTCCTGGCAATCATTTCAGATGTGTATGGGTATGTCCCACTGGGGCTTGTTACCTGCACCCACCTGAGACCCCCTCCTTCTCATTTCCCCTCCCTTCCTGCTGTTTACCTGAGCTGAGCTACTCTGGGCTCTCCACTCTGCCGTCTCTGGAACATTTTGTGTCTGTTTTCCAGCTACAGATGAGGTGCAGAGCCTCTTATCCTCACTGTTTTCCTTCTGTGCGATTAAATATTACCTGAGATGCAAGATTTATTAGCCATAGTCAAAAACCCCCAGCAAGCTTAAACATCCAATCTAAATTCACATATTAAACAATGAAACAACGCACAAAAAAACGGTGTCGTTTCTGGTACACTTGATTGCATCATCAAGAATCTGTTGTCTCAGCTCTCGCATTTCCTCTTCCTTTCTTTCTGTCTCTCTACATTTCTGCCTCAAGCCTGATTATCATAAAGCTGCGAAACTGGTGTGCTAATAAGCTAGTAGTAATTCTGCTGCATAGATCCAGTATATAAAATTGCTTTATTAGACCCATAGCACCTGTCCTTTGGAGTGATGTGACCGATTCTCTGTAAGTCCAGACTAGAAAAGCCTCTTATAGCTCATGTATTCCTGCGTCTTCACCCCACATCTCTCTAATAACCCTTGGCTCTCTGAGCAGACTCTGCGTGAGAGAGCTTTTGGGCTTTGTACCAGGAGATTGCATCTTCAAGCCTAATTTCTTGTTTGTGTGTGTTTTAATTTGAAATTGCATGTACAGAAATATGGGGTTTTTTTTACATATAGTGCACTTGTGATTTGTGTGTTACAGTGAGGCAGCAGCTCACGCTGTAGCGACGCTGGCAGAAGCCACACTACAAGGCGGAGGTCAAATTGTCCTGGCAGAGACGGCAGCTGCTGTTGGGGCGCTGGCAGGGGTTCAAGATGCCACAGGTACCCAATTATCAGCAACACAGCAAACACTGAAGCAACATAAAATAAAATACACCTCAAATTACAGCAATTACATAATTATAAAAAAAAGTCAAGTGTTTTTTTGGTATGCAGCATTAAACTGTACAGACAATGAAGGTCTGAAAAGTCATAGTTATTACCTCACTACTGCATTGCCTGCAATCACAGGTACATTAGTAACATTATCAAACAATCAAACAGTGGTAGTTTATATATAAACTATGTTATCTATATTGGTGACCACATAAATCAATTTATCTATATTATTTACGAGGACCCCAAAGATTAGATTACCGCTCTCTGGAATGACTCCAGCCTTGCCAATATACTTCCTCAGGTGCCCTGCAGTCCAACCATCAAGTTTAAAGTAGGTCTGATTAATGGTTGTCACGAAAAGTGCAAAACAGACGCACACATACAGAGATTCTATCATTTATCAGAAGATAGTCACACCGTGGTCATGCAGTGTTTAAATGATGCTGAGTTGGTATTGAGTGGCCCGAGACTACCAATAAAATATCACCTACACCTTTATGAACCACCAGCAGCCTGAACTATTTTTCCAATCTTCTTATGTTTTGGTGAGTCCGTGCGAATTAGTTTCCTGTTTTTAGCCGGCATAAGTGGCACCCAATGTGATCGTCTCTGCCCTGCTGATTCATCTGCATTGGCTCCCTGCATTGGCTCCCTGTCAAGTTCAGGGTCCATTTTAAGATCATAATCATGACTTATAGGGCCCTGCACGGTGTAGCTCCAACTTACATAAGTGATCTTCTTCTTCCTTATCACCCCAGCAGGTCCCTGAGGTCTTGTGACCAGGGGTTGCTGGTTGTCCAGCATACAAGGTTAAAAACAAAAGGTGACAGAGCGTTTGTATCAGTGGCTCCCAGACTCTGGAACTCGCTCCCTTTGAGTTTGAGATCTGTGGACTCAGTCATGTCTTTTAAAAAGCAGTTAAAATGTATCTGTTTAAACTTGCTTTTGGTTGATTTTGTTTTGTTTTAGATTTTAATGTCTGTTTTCTGCCTTTGTAAAGCACTTTGTGATTTTATCTTGAAAGGTGCTATATAAATAAAATTTTACTTTACTTACTTTATGTTATACATACTTTTAGTATACAGTCTGTGGTTTAAAACATTTCTTGTTTTGCGAAAGCTCCTTCTTCTAATCTTTGGTCAGGCAGCCAGAATGGTGCAACCCCCCCCCCCCCCCAAAAAAAAAGAATAAATATTGATCACATTCCATGTCTAGTACAGGTTTTTTTTTTGGCACATCTATTTTTTAGGTTAAATGAAACAGTTTCAAAACACCACTTTAAATCCAAAGCTCTATTCACAGTTTCTCTCTGTCAAGATTTAGATCATTCAAGTCTTTAGCCCTTTGCTCATCTGGGATATTTTGCAACAGGGTGCAATTTACCACTTTTTCAACGTAAATCCGCCTTTATCCCAAGAAAGTATCATGGCAGCACTGATATAGGAAGAGAAGAAGTCAAAACCAGAAGATAAGACTTTGGCACGGTTTTAAAGATTGCTGCAAAATCTCCCTCTGTATAGCTATATAGCTCAGGGCTTCTGTACTAGAATATGATTAAAATGGTGATAAGTGATGCAATCATACTCATGTCATCAACCCAACTGGGGCAGCCATTGCGCAATGCTCCAGGTTGCAAAAATCGCTTTCAAAATGACAGCACACACCACAAATTGCACCCTCATGTTTAGCATGCACCACCACCTGACAGGGGCAGGCATTGAGCATAAAAATGGCTTAATTCTTACTGACATACTTTATTCCATAAGCACAAGAAAACGCTCTTTAAGTTACATCGAAATCGGAGTAGAAGATAAATACTCGGAGTGGTCGAATTAGAATATTTGTATTAACTTAAACATCAACTTAAAGCCACTATTCACCATTCAGCAGGTAACTCACTCGAGGCTGAACTGTGGTCAGTATGTCCCCCCGGTTGTGCCCACTAGTCGAGAAAGAGTTCAACTTTGAATCCGTAGGTCTGCAAGTGCACTCGGAGTCTTCTTCTCTCCTGCTCTATCCGGGCGTGACCAACTGATTGTCATACGTCAGAATTATCCGGGGGGGAAGAAACGAGTCAATAGGAAAAAACGAATTCGTAAAATCGCACAAAACGTTTTGGAGAACTGGGCTTTTTTTGGTTTTGTTTTGTTTTATTTTATTTTATTTGTTATAGACGCACTCGCTTCTGATCGTGGTCTAAGCTTTATCGCGCAATGCCAACTACACACAGCTAACTGCGACGTAGTAGCACATTAAGAAAACATATTGCTGATCATTTTGAGAATAAAGTCGAAATCTGTCAGATACAGGCCATTTCCTTTTGTGCAAATCCACTCTTCCACATTTGTGTGTTTTTCTCTGGCCAGATAGAGCATTCTGCACCATTACCACACTGTGTTTATGGGCTGAAAGAGAAAGACTTTCCTGTCCTTTTTGCTAAAACTGACTCTGAGGTGCGATTCCACAAACTCAGAATGCTCATTTCGACCGTTTTTCTCAGAATAGAATTACGACTTTAATCGTCGATCATTTTTTTCTTAATGTTGCTTTAATAGTTCTTTATAAGGCAACCCCCCTTGGGTTAATTAGTTATCAAAGTAACTAACACATAGCAGAGGAAATGTAAACAGTACCATCCATCCATTTTCTTCTGCTTATCCTTATCAGGGTTGCAGGTGTGCTGGAGCCTATACCCGCTGTCGTAGGGCGAGGCCTGCACCGCTGTGGTAGGCTAATGTCTTTGGACTGTGGCAGGAAGCTCTAGAAACCGGAGAGAGCCCACGGTGTCTCAGGTGTTTTCTGCGTTTGTACTTACTCAGAATATTTAGCAAGATTTCCTGGACTTTGTTTTTTT